GCAGGGTTTAGGGTTGTTGTACATAGGGTCGCTATGAGTCGCAAGCGACTCGACGGCACATAACAACAACAACAATAGGAAGACTATAAGGGGCTAGTTATGTATATAATAAAACAGACAAACCAATCAAGAGAAATCACAGATTTACATATAAGAGAGTTAGTAGTTTGATGTTTGTTAAGTTTGTGGGATAAATAGTAGTACTTTAAAGATGTTTGTTGATAAAACTAATTTCCTGATGTCACTAGGTAAATTAATTGTAGCTTTATGTAGTTTCAATGATCATTCTTCTGAATTGTGAAAGTAGTTAAATTTTTTTTTTTTGGCCATCAATACTATTTAGCACTAAAATTAGAACCTCATTTGGAGTAATAGTTAAGGATTTAGTTTGTTAAGTCTGAATTTATAAAATATTTTAAAGCTGAGAAGAATTAAATACTTTTCCTCAAAATTCTCCAACATCATTTTGAAATCTCAAGGTCTCTATATCAAGTAATTCTATTTTCCACTGACTCCATATCAAAACTGGATAATGTATTTATAAGGCTATGTACACATGGCATGGTATACTTCAACCGCGTATAGCTACCAGACTATGCCTTATCAAGCCTAATCAGATTATAGCCTGAAGGCTTGTACAGTGTTTTTTATTCACAAATTTCATGGACTTGAGCATCAAAGGAAGAATAAAACCAATCTCTTATTGCAAGCACTTTAATAAATATTAAATGATAAGTGTAAAATGAAGCTGATTCTACACTAGCTTCAGGGAATGTGAGTAATAAAAACCTTCAAATGATGTTAAACAGCGTGTCTTCTCTTTCATAATCTGTGAGGGCCTCTCATTCTTGTAGTTAGTTGTGAGAGCAGGGAATGACGTGGTCAGATGTATGATTTTTGTTGCTAATTGATTTAAAGCAAAGGAAATTTTAGATGTAAAACAGGCTTGTCTTTTTAGTGGGATAGATATGGAAATGTGCTCGTGGTAATAATCAGTGCTTAGTCATTCCTCCTCACCTACCTGTTCCCTCTAAAAAAAATGAGGTTTTGAACTTAATGTTGGATGTGAAGCTCACCAGATGAAATGTATTTCCATTATTGTTGAATCTTGGTTTTAATGAGAACTTGAGTTTTGTATCATCATGCTTGGTATGTCAAAACATGCCCCAGTAGCACCTTGCAGAATATGATTCATAGGTGCTCACGAAGTGACTGTATAGAAGAAAAAGTAAAAAGCAAAGCCGCTTATCCAAGAGAAAGCTTATGAAAGCATCGGCACTGCCATTTTAAAGTCACCTGTGGCAGGCAAACCTGAAGATCATGCCTTCTGCCTTTGTGTAAGCCTTTGAAGTAGGTTGGCCATTTATGGTCTTCTAATGGATGGTATATGGCAAACATTACAGGTTGTCACATCATAAGGCAGTGACTTCCAGCTTGTTTGCAGATTCTTTACCTCGTTAATTAAAATAATAATAATAATAATAAATAGTAATAATTCTTTGGCTAGGTTGGCTCAGGATAGAAAGGCATTTAGGACTCTTGTACATAGGGTCTTTATGAGTTGTAAGCTACCCGATGACACATAAAAACAACAACAAATGCTTTAAGTCTGAGAAGTAAGTACCTGAAGTAAGTACCAATGAACAGTCAGTGAGGAATCCTTAGCTCAGTAGCCCTTGAGGTACTGAAATTCTGCAAACCAGTATGTAAGCTTAGAAGAATTTCCTTTCCCCATCGACACTTTAGATGAGGTTTCAGCCTTAGTGAACGCCTTGATTGCAACCGTGTGAAAGACTGTGAAGCAAAGGGAACAGCTAGGCTTTACATAACTTCCTGACACATAGAAACTGTAAGATAATGAATCAGTATTATTTCAGCTGCATGGTATTTGTTACACAGAAAAAGAAAGCTAATTCATATGCTATAAAACTTCCCTAATTGTGTTCATTACCATGGGTGGAACTTTATAGCACTTTCTGGTAATAGAAGTTTTTGCCTTCTTGACTTTCTTAACATAGTTTTGTGTGTATCAGGTGATGTGTGTGTGTATATCAGGTGATATGTGTGTGTGTGTAACTCACTGACATTAAGTTGTTGTTGTGTACTGTTGATTCTGAATTGATCCATAGCTGACTCTCCAGCAGGTTTTCAGAGGGAGTTAATTGGATAGGAGGTAATTGCCCATCATTTTATCCCCGTGGAGAAGTTGATGTATTCCATCATGTGCCTTTGGGATAGAACAGTGTTTAGGGTCGCTATGAGTGGCAAGCGACTCGATATCACATAACAACAGCAAAAACAACACAACAGCAACAACCACCTTTGGGATTGCAGTGCACCTTTTTAACCACTAGGCCACCAGCGCTCCTTAACATCAAATTACGTTCAGTTCAAAACAGTCTGTCAAAGCAGTGTTTCTGATTTCTGGTATTCTAAATCATAACCCAAGGAGACTGCTTATTTTCCCCCTGAACTTCTGATAGATTTGAGTCACCAGAGACTCTCAGCCTTTTGGTTAAGAATGTAAACCCCCAAAGGCTAAGTAAGGGGTTATGATGCTAGAACTGCTTGCAAATATGTGTATGGTGTGTGTGTGTGTGTGTGTGTGTGTGTGTGTGTGTGTGTGTGTTGGCATAGTGATTAAAGTAGATTCAGCCACCACCACCTGAAATATTCACCATTTGAACACACTCACTGGTCCCATTGGAGAAATGCCTGGTGGTCTTCTTCCATAAAGATTACAGACAAGAAAATGTTAGGAGATATTTCTCCTCTGTCACTATTGGTAAGAATAGACTTGACAACATCATTGGTACCACCGGAAGCAGGAGATGTATTACATTGGGCAAGCCTGTTGTTAGGGACTTCTCCAAAATACTAAAGAGCAATGATGTTTGTTTGGAGACTACGGTGTGCTTGATTCAGGTCATGGTCTCTTCACTCACCTGCTTTGCTTCAAAGAGCTGGATAAGGAATAAGACTGACAGAAGAATGGATTCCTTTGAGTTGTGGATCTGGAGAAGAGTACTGTCAATAGAACAAACAGATGTCTTGGAAAAGGGCAGCCACATGCTCTCTCAGACAAAGTTGGTGAAGCATCATATTTCATACTTTGGGCATATAGCTAATTGAAGCTATTTTTTTTAAAGACCATCATACTTGGAAAGATAGAGGGTCAGCGAAGGGTAGGAAGACCTCCAGTAGGATGGATTGATGTGCTGATTTCAGCAATGGGCTCTAGTGTGTCAAAGGTGATGAGGATGGTACAGGATAGATCTGTTGTTCATAGGGTCACTAAGAGTTAGACTCGACTCAGTGGCACCTAACACAACAACATGCATGGATGTATCAATCATACGATTGTGTGTGTGTGTGTGTGTGTGTGTGTGTGTGTGTACACATGTACATATGTGTAATTTTTGCATATATCTTTACGTGAGTATTTATTTTTTAATAAGAGTAGCTTTATAATATGTATTGAGGATGATGGGATTAGAAAGATACATTTTCAAAACCTGTTTTAACCATTTGTACTTAGTTATATACTACTAAATAAGAATATTTCCAATACTGCATAAGTCCATAATGTAATAATAGATCAAGATGGGAGTAGTGGGAGGAGCAGGAGTAAAATGAATAGAGAAGGCACATTGCATTAGAATGAGTGAAAGGACAGTCTGAAAGGAATGGATAACTAGAAACTATATGTCTGATAATTAATAACCTGGAACAGGACAAAGGGAATTGGAGTAGGGAGCAAAGTGAGCATGAATGAGTGAATGAAACAAATTTCTTTGTTAACTTTCACTAAAATATATAAAAAAACGAAAAACATATTAGGACCTGTTAAAAAAGCTTGTGTTTTGAAAAATTTACACTTGTTTGAAGTGTGTATAATATTAGATAATGCCAAGGTCAGAGTCTGGTAGATGCAGCCCAGTGTTATCAAATGATTTGTTAAAACTCTATTTGTCTTTGAGTTGTTAATGCCACTATTTGTGCATAAAATGTTTTTCTTCCTAAATTGGGAAAAAAGTATACTATACTCAGAAAAACCTTGTTCATAGTATACATTTGTGGTTGTTAAACTGTGTAGACACATGGAATCTCCCAAAGCCTTTTTTGATAGTTGCGATTTCAAAATTGTCTCCTTAATAAGACTGAGACATTCTCTGCTTTTCTTATTGTGCTGACATTTCAGTTAATTAAGTGCAGAAAATGATGGATTAAATTGCTTGAGCCTTAGCACAAACCAAGACAGTGGTATAGATATTTCTCAGCACCACGTGCTGATAGAAATGAAAGAAAGCCCCTTTCACTTAAGACTGATGAAGTGATGAAGTTGTATTTTAGTCAGTCTTGACCTTTGATTATGTTTCTTAGTATTCTGTAGATTGGAATGAGTAGTACACACCAAATGCTTCTGCTTCGTGCCAACATAATCAATCTTTCTGTAACTAAATTGGGTTAGGGCATTCCAGTGGCTTAGTGGTAAGGAGTTGTGCTGCCAGTGTAAATGCATGACGTTCAAATCCACCAGCTACTTAGTCCATAGGAGAAAGATGTACAGTCCTCTTTCATATCAATAACTGTCCTGAAAACCCACCAGAGGGTCAGCTATGAGTTGATTCTGACTCAAAGGTACATAACACCACCACCAACAAACTGGATTATTTAAGCTGTCATAACACTGTTTGTTTTCAGATTCTTTTGTTTTATACCGTTTGGAATGCTTCCCACTAGCTCAGGTTTAAATTCAGCTATTTTCTGTGCCTTTTAAGCATTGTTAAGCAGTGACCCAATGACACATAATTAGATTGTTGAACTATGTTATGATCACCAAATTAAAAAAAAAATCAAAATAACTTCTCAAAAAATAAATGATAGGGTAAGTTAATGTAAAGCTTTAAACATTGCAATTTTTGTATGTTGTTTATTATGTTTTATTCTTTTTAGCCAAATGTTGTGATTAAATTTTCCATTTGGTTTTGTTTTAACAGATCACCAGAAATTGGAAAGAGAAGCTAGAATCTGCCGTCTTTTGAAGCACCCAAATATTGGTGAGGAATGTTTTTAGTGTGCTCTTAGTGTTAATTTAGCAATCTGGACCACTTGTAACTATTGACAAAGGTTACTAATACCTGGTCATTGTTGGCATTTAAAGGCTTTGTTGCTTTTGTTTTTTTATATGTGTGTTCAATATCTTCAAAACCAGTTTGGAAAACAAAAACTATCATCATGACTTTAACTTATTACCAAGGCATTTATATTTATTAAAGATATTAAAAATTATTGTGTTAATTGGATCCAAAGTACATATTTCTTTCTTTTGCTAAAAGTTGAGTGCCCACCAACCAGTAGAGATATTGAATATAATTTAAAGAGTAAAAGCATTAAATTTAATAATTATTGCTTATCTTCTTTTCCCTTTCTTTGAACTAAATACCGTGCAATTCTTTTAGATTAGTTGAGAGTCATTAGAAAAGTCACACAACTCTTTATATCTCTGTTGCCCAATGTAAAAAATGGAAATGACAGTCCTTAGCCTAATTCAGAGTGGTTGTTAAAGTAAAATGGAAGCAAGTCTAAATTTTTAAAAAATACATTTTTTTAATGACATCAGTTCTATGCATCTTAGCAACTTGAACAATATTATTAATTGAATAATGCCTTTATATGTTTTTAGAAGTTGTTAAGCTGATAATTATGAAGTTTGTGAAGAAATTACTTTTCACCTATCCTAAAAAGAGTTTTACAGTATTAATCTTTTTTAAAAAGCTATTAAGATCATTTTATAACATTATTTCTCATAGATTATTAATAAGATACTAATTTTCAGTTATTTTGCAGAGTAAGCAATGTATGAATAAAATGAAAGAAGGGAAAAAGAAGCAGAAAAAAATTATAAACTAGATTCAATGATATTGGTTTAGATTATATTAAAAAAAATGTTGTTACCTCAGCTTTCTCAGTTTTGAATTTTTCCTGTCAGTTTAAGTATTTCTAATCCAGAAGTTGTGAAAAAAAGAGAAGATGATATAACTGAGTTTGTAAAATTTCTCACTAAACAGGTTTGTAGTTCAAGGCAGGAAAGGCATAAGAGCTTTTCTTTTTATATATGTGCTGGTTCAGTTTCTCTTCCTGCCTTTTTTTTTTTTTAATTTTATGCTGTGTTACACATGTTAGATTCTTAAGTGAATGAATAGACACAAGTATGTCTCAAATTTTAACAGACTAATAGGTGTCTAAGAGAAATCTACCTCTGCATGAATCTGCCTCTACAAATGTTTCAACATGATAGCATTTTGTGAGGTCTGTTATTGGCTAAAGAGAATTTTAAGAATACCACGCACTATGACACGGAATTTGGGAGCAGGAGTGGCATTCATTTCCTAAATAAAATGCCTCTAGAAACTCCATGAACCTTGATAAACATCGATAGTTGTAGAGGGGCTTCAAGCCTTTTGTTCATCGGGTAGATGTGAGTTGTGCTTAACAAGAAAGCAATCAACAACAACATGAAACAGAGAGGACTTTTCTAGTTTCTATTTAAGAAAGAATGAAATAATTGGAGAATAGTCCAGTCTTTCCATGGGTGGTGGTGAGAGTAAGTTTGTTGTTATTTGTATGTGTTTTTATTTTTGTCTCTTTTGGGAGACAAAAAAAACACACCCCAAATGACCTTCTAAAGACAAGAGCTAAAAATCAGAACAAGTTTCATTTTGACCCCTGCCCCCTATGCAGAATACCCTCAGCAGAGAAAATGAAAACTCATTTACTGGGGAAGGTTTGAAAAGTTTTGTGATGAAGAGGGAGATGGAAATGATACAATAGAGAATTTTACTGTAGAATGCCTTTGTATAGTTAGGAAGACACAACAGGTAAACATCATTTTGTTATTGTCTTCTTTCATTCAGGATCAGTCTGACATCACAAATAACATCCCTTGCTCTCAGTCCACTGCCAAATCTAGGTTGAATTTCTGGCAGTTCCTGTACGTGTACTGCTGCAGAGTGCTTGAGGCTCTAGGGAAGAAAAACCTTGTGATTTACTTTTGTAAAGATTATATCAAAGAAATCCCTGTTGGAGAGTAGGCAGTTCTAATCTGTCACATGGCGTAACTGTGACTCAATAGCACCCAACAGTAACAACAAAAAATTTTCACAGACTAAAATTGACAGTGATATTTGTTCATTTTTAAACATTTTAAGTAATGTCTTAATTAATCGTTATATTTTGTACCTCCTTTCTATTTTGTTTGTCCTGTTGATATAGTGCAGGGGGCTGTCAACCAGTTCAGATTGGCAAGCTGTTCTGCAGAAGGATGGACAGTCTCCTTTCAGATAAATTTACAGCCTTGCATCATTAGGAGTTAGAATAGACTCAAGGTGGTGGGTTTTGGTTATTTTGCTTGGAGTGCTCTTACATGTTTCTCAGTCTGTAAGAAATCAAGCCAGTTACACTGTATGTGTAAACTTAAACTCAATAATTGTTATTGTTGATATGTGCTATCGAGTAGCCTGCTACTCATTGCAATCCTATGTACATTAGCTATGAACCCTGCCCTATCCTGAGCCAATCTCATAGTCTCTGACAGAGCTAATCCCATTTTTTCAGGCACTGAGTCAATCCATTTTATATGAGGTCTTCCTCTACTGTGCTGTTTCTTCATTCTTCAAGCATGATGTTCATTTCCAAGGACTGGTCCCTCTGGGCCACATGCTGTAAATATGTGAGAGAGAGCCTCACAATCCTTGACTCCAGGGAGCAGCCTGGTTTCACCCTTTCCAGACAGACGTCTTTGTCCCCCTTACAGTCCATGGTATGTTTAACACTCTTCTCCAGCACCTCAACTCAAGGCATTGATCCTTCTTCTGTCATCCTTAGTTATTATCCAACTCTTGGATGCATAGCAAGTAATTGTGAAGACCATGGTCTATGTATCTTAGTCTAAAGACTGACATCATTGCTCTTCAGTACTCTAGAGAGGCTCCTTACAGAAGACTTTCTCAATGTAATTTGTCTTTTGATTTCCTGACTGCTGCAGCAAACACCTTATGTCCTCTTCAGGTTCAGCAAGCAAGGATGTGTCATCTGCATAGCACAAGTTGTTGATAAGTCTTCCTCCAATCTTGATGCCACATTCCTCCTTATCAAGTCCAGCCTCCAGAATGATCTGTTCTGTATATTGATTGAAAAGATGTGGAAATAAGATGCATCCTTGATACATACCTTTCCTAATCCTAAACCATACAGTGTTTCCTTGCTCTGTTCTGACTACTGCTTCCTGGTCCAAGTATAGGTTTCACATGAACACAATCAAGTATCCTGGGATTCCTGTTCTTCTCCAGGTTAGCCACAATTTGTTGTGATCCACACAGTCAAATACCTTTGCATAGTCAATGAAACACAGATAGACATTCCTCTGGTACTCTCTACTTTCACTCAAGATCCATCTAACATTGGCTGTGATGTCCCTAGTGCCACGGCCTCTTCTAAATCAGCCTGCACAACTGGCAAGTTCTCCGCTAATGTAGTGTTCCGGTTGTTTCTGAATAATCTTCAGCAGCATCTTGTTTGCATGTAATATTATAAGTGATAATTTCCACATCCTGTTGGGTCATCTTTTTTTTAACAGTAATAATTACAGATCTCTTGTAGTCATTTGATCAGGTAGTTGTCTTATATATGCCTGGAAGTTACTTATTAAGTAATTAAACTGCCTTCAAATGTCATTAATTACAATATTCCAACTTTTTGTTTTGTTTTGTTTTTTTATTTACAAAATTCAGGTACAATATTTCAGTTCTTGAACCGTTTGAAAGAAAAAGGGCACCTAGGAAAAAGGAACATGGATATTATAGTAAATGTTATCTGCTGTGAAAACAAATTAAGTTACAAATTATAGGCAAGTATCATTTTCAGTGACTTGAGAAACTCAAAGGTATTCCAAGAGAATGACACAGTTTTTCTCTATTACCTCTTTCGTTATTTTTATTAATAAGTATAATTACATAAGATGAAGCACATTTTATTGCTGAACTACTTTCTATAGTGATTGTGCGACAGATAAAAGATAATTTAACACTATTCAGTGGTAAAAAGCAAAATATTCAGTTTATTGTTCACTATTTGATTTCATCTCACCTCTTTATCATGATGATTTGGTGGGACGGCTACATTACTTTTTAGAAGGTATCACTGGCTGCAGAGTTAATTTTCCTCTTGTTAAAAAAATGTGAAACACCTGAGAAACACATCAGAGAAATGATTTTTTTTTCTAGCAAAAATAAATTTAAAGAAGTCTCTTTGGAGCTTCTTCTGGGGGGCTCCCTCCCACTTTTGTTCAGAGAATATGGTCCCATTGAACTATCTTTTATAGTTTTTAGCTGAAAATTAACAAAGACTTTTTACATACAAATTATTTATTTAGTGGAAAGTTACGATATAAGAATTGTAGACTCAAGATAATATTTTAAATTATTTTTTGTTGGCATGTTTGTATTGAAGAGACTTCCTTTGTTTTTGGTTCCTTTGTCACTCAGTTATTTGCACCAATTACATTGGAAAAATTATGGCACTAAACTTTATCAGAAGTGTTTAAATTTAGAGTTCAACTTAGGATATCTTAAATCTGTCCTTATATAATTGAATTGTTTCTTGTGATTTACCCTATATTATTTCATTCCCACCTTGACTTATCGTCATTAAGTTGAAGATAGAGTCTGAACAGAGTATTCTTAAGAGAATTGTGGACAATCTGCTCTCATGTGGTTGACAGCATTGAAAACCACTGGAGAGTCAGCTGTGAGTTAATTCTGACTGTACAGCAATGAGTGAGTGACTAATTATATGGACCAGTGCTGTTCTGTGCTCGCTATGTGTATAGTTGTAGTGATTTCTACTCACTGACTCTTTAGGACAGAATAGAGAAATCCACAGAGTTTTCAAATTGTAGTCCTTAGGGAAACTGACTGCTATCTTTTTCCTGTGGAGCAGCTGGTTGCTTTGAAACAGACTTTTTTCTTTGTTAAGCTATTGAGCTCTTAACAGCTGAACT